AACATCTCTTGTATGTACCCAAAGTGGTGAAGGGTATCATATAGTCGGCCACGTCCGAAGTTTGAACTTTCCTTACTGGTTTTTTAATAATAATTATTTTAAGGTGTTATATTATTAAGGTGTTATATATTAAGAGCTAAAAACTAGTGTCTTGTAAATGATATTTTAACTATTTTTATTTAACAATGATTGTCAGCAAAATCGGTAGATAGTCCAGTTTATGATAGCTCTTATTGTTTAGAAACAATTCCACCAGTTAAAAATGACTATTATTCTCGGTACATGTTAGTCCAAGTAAATAGAGTTTTATGTCCGAAATATTGTTGGTAGATAAAAACAATTAAATTATTTATCGTATTTTTATGGCTAACAATCTGTAATTGGTTTGACTTCAAGTCGTACGAAAGATACCGAATTTTTGCGATAACTAAATGTTCGATGATGAAAATCAAAAAGCAATCAAAATGTATGGATATAGGCAGATGGGCCGAATTTGATGTACCATACATGAATTTATAAATTTTAAAACATGTTCAAATATACCAGCAGTCTTTTATCTGAACGAAGATCAAAAATATTTGCTTCAAAATCCCTGAAATTTACCAGTAACGTGAATTTGATAGGTCAACCGCCAGTCTATATGGCACCCAATGATTTATTTTTGTTCTCGCACATGGAGAAACAAATGCGATTGCCGTTGCCAGATGCTCAGAGGTCAAAATTCCTCCGGGCAGAACATTTTCAAAATTGGTTTATGTTCCGTTTACCACATAAATGTTCGGACTTATTTTAGATAATAAAAATATATATAATTCAACATGTTGGTTAATCAAAGGCTGTTGAAAATCCTATTCGCAGAACATTTTTAATATTGGTTTATTTTTAGACGTCGTTCCCATATACAGATTCAGACAGGGTTTGAGGTATTAGCCAACTAAAGTATCTGTTACATAGAATTACTGATTTTCACATGATGAAATACATCCTGACCGATAATTGTCTGAATCATGTTTGGAAAACACCACCACATAAATGTTCCGCCTCATTTTACCGATTTTGCAAATCGGTTATTAATTACTGAACTCTTGGACAGTGGGGCTTTTCGGTTACTGAAAGGATAAAAAATCATCTGACACAATGTTTTCAATGTTGATACATTATTTGACATAGTGTCCATATAAGGGTCCCGACAGATTCATGTTAACTCAGAGAAATCAATATAAATATACCATTTTCATTTTTTTGGTATTTTTGGGGACCCAGTCGCATTTGAACCCAAATATATTCGCAATTCTGCTTGCCGGTTACTGGAGGGGTGTTTAAAATACTCATGGCAGACTATTTGAAATGTAGTTTGATTTTAGACATATTTTCCATATAAGGATCCCCACTAATTTTAGGTTTTTTTTTCTAGCCGGATTTTCCGAACATAATTTCCGGGTCTCAAATAATGATCTTCCATCTCCTAAAAATTAACAATGTCCAGGTCCATGTTATCACACAACCCTCAGTAGAGGCCCCTGCTTATTCTAGGTAATATTTGAGCCCTTCGTCACATTTTGAAGCAAAAAAAAAAAAAAGGAACATACGGTTGAGTACGCCTATATGAGGACAAATTACAACCATTTCGGTTGAAAAACGAGCTGAAAATCCTCAATATACTAAAATTGAGACTATAAGAAAAAAATTGACCTTTATTCATAATTTTTAGAGTGGAGACTTTGGTACCCCATAACAACACAAATTCCCGAATTACAGCGAATTCGGTCGAAAAACGCTCTGAAAATCTCTAAATTCCTAAAATCTTGGAGGTACCTTTATATGGAGGCTACAAGAAAACATATTGATAATTTTTTTGTCATGGACTCAATATGAACCCAATGAGACAAATTACAGCTAATTCGGTTGAAATATGAGTCCAAAAACCTCAAAATAGCGAAAATTTGGGGGGCACGGTTATATGGGAACCATGCCTAAACGTGGACCGATATAACCCATTATCGGACTTGACCGGCCTGCAGACAAAAGATAACAACATTTTAGAGTATATCTCAATTTGTTTAGAAGCTAGAGAGATTACAGAAGACAGATGACAGAATTATTATTTCGATGAGATACAAACAAAAAACTCACCCATACTATGGTGAAATGTAAAAATCTCTCGGCGAATAATTATCAATGTCCATGTTAGCACATAACCCTCAGTACAAAGGCCCCGCATCCTTTTGGGTATTTCATCCTGGAATCATTCTCAATCCAAAAACCAGTGAACGGAGCAGTATAGTCGGACGGGGCCGACCATACTATAGCCGTCACTACTACCACGGAACTCTAACTCTCTGCGGATTTTTATTTCGAGCCTGGGCAGTATTTCGTGATAGTTGCACCCTTTTGCCCGATTAGCCGATTCCCTTAAACTGACATATTTTCCGAATATTACTAATATTCAGTACAGTCCTTCCAATTGCTTGTCCATATTCCATTCACCGTGGATTGTGTTGTGATGTTCGGCTTATATTTGTGGCCTCGAAAAAACACATAAAACTTATGTTTTCGGTCCACTTCATCCCAAGAGTATTATCAGATCATCATCGAAAATTATAGGCGTTGTCCTTGACCATAACTAGAACCTCATGGAACATTTCAAAGCGATCAGTGTGGTAAGGCGTTACTAAGTAATATTTGGTTGGGGGAAAAATATCCATTATGAACATGTCGATAAAATCGGAGAAATCGGAGAATTTGGTGGCACTGGAAGGGGATTATTTATTATTGAGTTGCTTCCACATGACCAAACGATGAATTCTAATCTCCACTGTCAACAAGTGGACCGTTTAAATATAGCAATTGACCAGAATTGGCCAGCATGAGAGGTGTCGTGTTCCACCAGGACAACGCTAGGCAACACACACGAAGTCTTCATAATATTTTGAAGACTTCGGCTTCATTTTCAAAACAAAATTACTATAATTTAGGATCTCGGGTTCTCAGAGGATAAAGGAACTACCATCGAAGAAAAATTAAGTAGCTCATAGCTCTCCAATTTAAAAGTTTCGCCTCATTTTCGGTATTGTTAAGGTTAGGGTATTTATAATTGGGTATTTCGTTTATTGAAATGGTAAAGTCTTCATGGCATTTTCATTTTTGAATCATTTTTAGCATAGTACACATATAGGAGTCCCTAGCGATGTTGGATATTTTCAAGGCTTTAAACCAAAATTTGAGTAAATCGACTAGGGATCTTAAAGGATATACTGTCTCCCGGGAGAAATGGGAATAAATTAACCTATAGGAGATACACTGTTTCACTGATACCGGTGAAAATTTTTTCAATACATTTTTGACAGTTTTAAGGTCCCAGCAGCAATTTCAACCCATAATTATCGCAATTTCACATTTCGTTTATTCAAAGGTTAAAAAACCTTTTGGAAAAATACTTTCAATGTTGGTTCCCATAGAAGTATTCAATTTCGAGTATTTTAATACCCTTAGTCACATTTTCATTGGGTTATAAAGGGTTAAAAATCTCCCGGCTACAAATTTTCAACATAGGTTAATATAGGTTAACGTATATCAATCAATATTAAGGTCCTGCCTCATTTTAGGTATTAATGCGTCAAGCATTTTTCAATTAAATGGAGGTTTTTCCGGTTAATGTGACATTTCAAGTACTCTAAGGATTAAATTTCCTCTGACGGAAAATTGCTATTTCCTAACGACGTTTCTATAAATGGGGGTCTTTTAGAGCATATATATGTTTTGTCAGAGCTCGTATATAAGATTCCCGTATTTATGGTGAAACAGATTATCTGGAGTGTACAAAATCTGAAATTTGGAAGACCCAACCGCCCTAAATGGCATACAAACAAACTCAAAAATTCAGCTTGAGCCCGGCTGGGTTCCCATCGCATCTGTTAATTGTTGTCCGGCGCCTTAGCGTTCTTCCTAAGGTTGCACAATAATGCAGTTGCATACCATTGAAGAAAAAATATTCTCTGAAAAGGAATGTTCTGGTGTGATGCCAAATGTCCGAACCTTGACACGGTTGAATTTAATTCGTAGATGCAATTTCGCAACAATAGTCGACATAAATACAACATATCAAGTAAAGACATTTGTAAGCCACATTGCCCAATACGCCTGATGAGCTGCTTAACCAACGGTGAAACGCGTCGCATAGTGGTGGGAATGTAGTATCTCTCTGGCTTTCCTTTTCATTGCAACGCCGATCATGTAGCTCATCTCGAAAGAGAAATTAATTAAAAACGTAATGGGTATATTTGAAATTTTAAGAACTCAAAAAAATAACTACTGCCAGAAATTAGGCCCCATGTTTGGAGCACATACCATATACAAGATTTTTCACCCCATTTATGATATCTTGGAGGTCCGATCCGCACTTTACCAGCTATGGGCCGTGGAGGTCCGTTCATAGTTAATTTGTCGGTCATCAGAACAAACATTCAAAAAATATGACTCTCATAATTTTCCACGAACATCGTACACCATGGATCAGACATACTATCAGGAAATTGATAATCGTATACTTCTTTAAATTCTATTTAACAAAATTAATAACAATTATTAAAAACGCAAAAAAATTATAATCGCTTATTAGATACGATTGGGAATTTCTTCTGCGAAAGACAAATCATAACAAAATGCTGGCAAAAAGTCAACCAGACAACAGTTGACTGACTAACACCACGAATTCTTCACAATTGATAACAAATCTGTTGTTTTGAATTCCGAACCCTTGCAAGTGCTTCGCTTGTCAAATCTTTTGCCATTGGAAAGCCAATAAATTTGTTTATATTATTTACTGTAACCCCAACCGACCGACCAGCCGACAACCAATCAATGCTGGTCAGCCCCGTTTGTTTTGCTAGTTTTCGATTTTTATCAAATCAGATAAAAAATCAAATATTTCCAATTTCCAATAACATAAAATGTTGGCAAAGTTTCGTAACTTCAGTCAATTCTAGTGGAAATTTTCAAAGATGAAGATCGTCGGAGGAGGTGTTTTATTTGTGGTGTTGGTGTTTTTGGCTGCAGGACCATTTTCGCGAGTAGAGGCAAAACGTATTAAACCCGTTACTCGAGCTCCTAAGAGGAGTCAGGTGGGTCGTGTGGTGGGCGGTGGCACTGCGGAAGAGGGTTTGGCACCCTACCAGGTATCCTTGCAAACGGAATGGGGCCACTTTTGTGGCGGAGCCATTATCGATAAGGATTGGGTGCTGACAGCTGCCCATTGTGTTGTTAACAAATATGTAGAAGATATCATCGTGATGACCGGAAGTCAAAATTTGGTGAAACCTGGTCCACTCTATTATGCGGATGCAAAATATGTCCATTGTAATCATGATAAACCGAGTATGCACAACGATATTGCCCTGCTGCATTTAAATTCGAGTATTGTTTTCAATGAGAAAACACAGGCTGTGCCGTTGCCCACTAAACCCATGGAAGATGGTGCTGATGTGTTGCTAACCGGTTGGGGTTCGGAGGAGCTTTGGGGTGATTCACCGGATCTCTTGAAGAAAGTCAATTTGAAGTACATGGAACACAGTCGCTGTAAGGAGGCCATGAATGACGATCCCGATGTAGATTTCGGTCACATATGTACCTATACGAAGGTCGGAGAGGGTTCGTGTCATGGTGATTCGGGTGGTCCTTTGGTCAGTGGTGGTTATTTGGTGGGTGTGGTCAATTGGGGTATGCCCTGTGCCATTGGATATCCTGATATGCATGCTAGTCCGCTGTTTTATCACGATTGGATCCGATCGAAAATGAGCGGAAATCGAAAGTGTTGAAGGGGAGGAGAGATAATATTTAGTACATAAGGATAAGTGTGATTTTTTTTGTGTAAATAAAATAAAAAAATATAAAAAAAAATTATGAAAAAAAATTTCAAGGGTCCACAAACAGGCGTGGATTTTTTAAAAATATTTTTTCAAGGGTTATCCAAGGCGTGAATTTTTTAAAAATAATTTTTCAAGGGTTATCCAAGGCGTGGATTTTTTAAAAATATTTTTTCAAGGGTTATCCAAGGCGTGGATTTTTTAAAAATATTTTTTCAAGGGTTATCCAAGGCGTGGATTTTTTAAAAATATTTTTTCAAGGGTTATCCAAGGCGTGGATTTTTTAAAAATATTTTTTCAAGGGTTATCCAAGGCGTGGATTTTTTAAAAATATTTTTCAAGGGTTATCCAAGGCGTGGATTTGTTAAAAATATTTTTTCAAGGGTTATCCAAGGCGTGGATTTTTTAAAAATATTTTTCAAGGGTTATCCAAGGCGTGGATTTGTTAAAAATATTTTTTCAAGGGTTATTCAAGGCGTGGATTTTTTAAAAATATTTTTTCAAGGGTTATCCAAGGCGTGGATTTTTTAAAAATATTTTTTCAAGGGTTATCCAAGGCGTGGATTTTTTAAAAATATTTTTTCAAGGGTTATCCATGGCGTGGATTTTTTAAAAATATTTTTTCAAGGGTTATCCAAGGCGTGGATTTTTTAAAAATATTTTTTCAAGGGTTATCCAAGGCGTGGATTTTTTAAAAATATTTTTTCAAGGGTTATACAAGGCGTGGATTTTTTAAAAATATTTTTTCAAGGGTTATACAAGGCGTGGATTTTTTAAAAATATTTTTTCATGGGTTATCCAAGGCGTGGATTTTTTACAAATATTTTTTCAAGGGTTATACAAGGCGTGGATTTTTTAAAAATATTTTTTCATGGGTTATACAAGGCGTGGATTTTTTACAAATATTTTTTCAAGGGTTATACAAGGCGTGGATTTTTTAAAAATATTTTTTCATGGGTTATCCAAGGCGTGGATTTTTTAAAAATATTTTTTCATGGGTTATCCAAGGCGTGGATTTTTTAAAAATATTTTTTCATGGTTTATCCAAGGCGTGGATTTTTTAAAAATATTTTTTCAAGGGTTATCCAAAGCGTGGATTTCTTAAAGATATTTTTTCAAGGGTTATCAAAGGCGTGGATTTTTTAAAAAAATTTTTTCAGTGGTTATCCAAGGGGTGGATTTTTTAAAAATATTTTTTCAAGGGTTATCCAAGGCGTGGATTTTTTAAAAATAATTTTTCAGTGGTTATCCAAGGGGTGGATTTTTTAAAAATATTTTTTCAAGGGTTATCCAAGGCGTGGATTTTTTAAAAATATTTTTTCAGTGGTTATCCAAGGGGTGGATTTTTTAAAAATATTTTTTCAAGGGTTATCCAAGGCGTGGATTTTTTTCAATGCCGTGGTCTTCTTCCTATAGCGTATTTCATTTTTTACGATGGTCATAAATATTTACTACCAATCCATACTGACCCATACGTTTGTTTTTTATCAATTCGAATACGATAAACTACAAGAACAAAATTTCAGATATAAATTCGAATATTTGATATTTTAAAAACATTTTGGCAATTCTTGCGGAAATTTCCAAAGATGAAGTTCGTTTTGCCAGTGGTTATACTTTTAACGGTCGGGTCAATCATCATTGACGCGAAGCGGATCAAAACAATATCGAATAATTTATCGGAAAAAGAAGGACGCGTTGTTGGCGGTGTAACAGCTGAGGAGGGTTTGGCACCCTACCAGGTGTCCCTGCAAAATTTCTGGGGCCATTATTGTGGTGGAGCCATAATCGACAAACAATGGATCCTGACTGCCGCACATTGTGTTGCTCGCAAGGAGATGGAAGATATTTTGGTTATGACCGGTACACAAGATCTTGAACTACCCGGTGTTATTTATCATGTGGATGAGGTGCATGTCCATTGTAATTATGATCGGCCGCAGATGCACAACGATATTGCATTGTTGCATTTAAATGAGAGTATTG